TTCAACATTCACCAATTTAGTAGGTGTATGTCTACATTCACTAAGACTAGGTGATACCAATTACAGATATTCACAGTAACATAAATACTTGCAACATATATTATATTATTGTACCTAGAAGTACTATAATAGTAGGCAGATAAAAATTGATTTTAATACAATTTTGATTTAGACAAATATACAAAATATTATAAGTAATCATACTATTGATGAGTACCACGACCACCTCTGGAATGTGGTGCACAAAGTTTCTATATATATACATAAAAAATAAATTTCAAACGATACGTCAAAGATGCCGTGAGTGGCCGTTAATAACCTAAATTATAAACTATAATAGAGGGCCTTGACCGTTATGATGTAAACAAACAGCATTCTGATTTCTGAACCAATTGTTTGATTAACTATTCTTAACAAATTGTTTTCATAGAAAAAATTTCATAAATGTACACAAACACGCAAATGTAAACATTGATCTGAACATGGCTCAATTTGTTTGTTATAGTGTGGATTAATATATATATATTATACAAAGTACCTTCTGAACAACATACATGACCAGATTCGGCACTACACTTAAATTTTAAACGATGCTGCAGTCGTCGGAGTGTAATATTATAAAAGATTAAAAACCCGTCGCTTACTGCATCTCATGAAAATCACGAATCTTGTGTCACTTGTCTCTAGTTTGCTCGTGTTATCTGTTTTCGTATTTCGCATGCCACTTATAACGATTTCGTACAACTATATGTAGATCTAACACCACACCTGCATTTGTTTTCTTTGTTTCACTGCGAGTGTGTAGAATAACAAATTTAAGATCAGTGGTTCTTGTTCAGCAAAGTTACTTTAAAAATTAAAGAGGAAACATAATGTGTTAAGAACATTATCTGTGTTCGTATGTGGTATGCAGGTATTTTACAATATTTAAATTTTTTTAATAAGTTTTGTATATACAAAATATTGCAATATAAAAATGCTCATAGAAGTCATAACTCTCTTAAAAACAAAAATATCGTAAAAAACGACCTACAAACACAAATAATATTCTTAGGAACCATTAAGTTTCATAACAAGTTAATATAAAGCTAAAGAAGTTATACGTAAACTGCTGGGCATAAACTTGCTATGAGGATGTAACGTTCTCTTTTTTTTACATGGTTTTTTTACAACGTCCTCTTAAGAGACGCAATACATGGAAAACTCAGGACAAAGTGCGTTTAGGTACATCGACTCATCGTTACATTACCTACATGATTCGGGAGTAAATAAAGAACAGATAACAGATTGATAAGATAAAAAAGCCATAAAATAAATGTCACTCAGGGTGATTACCCCTAAATACTTTCTAGCCCCCGTGTATATAATACATATATCCAAGTTGATATTTTAAGCATAGTTGATAAATAGTAAGTTGTGCATAAATAATGAATTTTTTTCAAATTCTGGTTTTTAATACTTTTTTCATATTCCTACTCAGAGACTATTTTTAAACAGCACCTTGTCATCCTTACTCTAAGACGTCATTGCCATCATAATACATTGGGATGAGTCCAGAAATCTTACATACATTTCCTTTATTTCTGCAGCAGGTTGTTCCTCAGTATTTGCCTAGAAATAACAAAAATGAAAAAAATAGTATACATGTGTTATGTGTACATGCTCAACCTGCAATTTTAACAGAATTTTAATTCGTAGGTACAGTAACTTTCAGTGATACTGTAGAATACAAATTGGTTTGAGTTTACGAATTTAAAAGCGTTTAAATACATATTATAGGTACCATTTATTTGTTATAACTAAGTGTTTGAAGTTATCATTTTTACAAAATTGGATATTTATACCAAAATAACGATTTGAGTTATTTTACTTTAGTTAACAAGATATGTATAGTAGAAACTTGAATGTTGAAAGACTCTATAAGTACATATTTATATTTTATATGGACATTATAATATAAAAAGTAGTTTAACTATACTTCAGTATTCATAGCCTCATAGGTATTCCATAAATGTATACCACATGCATTACATCGGTATTGACTTATTAATTAGTATAGACTATATACCCAGAACCTAGTTATAACTTTTAAGTTGATTACAACATATAATATTATACTAATTGATAATATTACGCATATATAATGCGTTAAGTTTGTCAACAATATTCAAGTTCAATTTACCGTATTGCTAATAGACAGATAAACTACTTAGGTATTAGTGTATATAATTATATTATAAGATATCTTGAATAGAAATAGAGGCTATAATATTATAATATACTTATACCATATTTGCTCAGAATCGTTTTTCGTTTTCAATGATTTATCATTATTCATTAAATTTAATTCAAAAAATCCTGGTGACCTACTCAATAACGACTTCACGCAGTCATGCACACTCAAAACGTACTCTACTGCAAATAAAATTCCCCATTTTCAAACTTGCAGTCATTCATTTATTAGTTATACTTTCTATACTTCAAATGTTAAACTATCAAAACAAGGTTTCTTAAAATTAAATGTTAAAAATATTGTTTGTACAATTTTTTAAAATGTCTTTAGACATATATGTATAAAGTACTATATAGTATATTATGTATATTTTCTTTAGAGTTAGTTGTTTTTTCAGCCGACGCATCCGTCTTAATTTGATATGCCTTGTTCAGACGTCAATGTATACTGCATTTAATTTGCATACATTACACTGGCATAATTTATCTATACATGCTTCATTTAAAACTATTATTTAACGACATCCGGAGTACCTACCTATAATAGTTATTAATTATTATTACGCAAGTCAAAGATTTTTATTTAATAGAATAAAAACGATTTGTCGATTCAATTGATTTAAATTCCTGGATTGTTTTTTTTTTTTTTAATATTATAGGTACTATACGTATTTCATTGTATACAGTATTATGTGTAATTGTGAAATACTATCGTGTTTTGAAGTATATTTTTATTTTTAGTTCATATTTACACGATGTTTTTGAAACGCAATTAAATGTACAAATATTTTTTCAGCCCTATTTATCCACGACTCAAGTGCGTGGATTATTTTTAATACGATCAAAGAGCTTTAGCCTTTTATTTATCGGTGGGTGTCTCACACGGTATGTACAACCCGAAATGGTATATAAAGGGTAGTGGATTTTTACCACCCATTGGCAATTGAATTCAATTACATTTTGCAAATCCCACATAAGCACTCGTGTTGTATAAGAGAGGGAAGAACGAGTGTTTTTCTTGTACATCAGTCCCTCTCTGTATACGCACGCAACGAGCCCTACACGCATCCCTCCATCCCACCACCACACTCAAACTGTATTATTATAATGGTTGATCTTTTGGACGTGTGCCGGAATTATTTCGGTCCTTAGAATCGGTGTGCGTATGTATGCTTGTACTCTTCGAAATTCTTCTGAATAAAATTCGTTCAGTAGATTTGAATGCAAAAACAGTTATCTTAACATTTAACACATTTTTTTTTTCGGTGCGTGTGTCTTTCAAAAAACATTGTGGCTCAAACAAATGAGAACCAAAATTTCAGTTGAAAAAAAACTTCCCTTGAAAAACAATTTTCGTTGTTGTACGTATGTATACGGTATACCTATAATCTATATAATATATATATTAGGTATCAAAGCATCTGTAGTTTGATCAAGCACCAACGAACAAAATATTTTATAAACCATCCCTTTGTGCTAAAATGTAGGTACCTCTATACAGCTATATATACCCAATATGGTTAATATAATGTATATATGGGTGTGTGTATGTATACATATATATATATCATCATTTATTGTAAGCATAGTAGTAGTATTATACATCCTGCGACAGCCTCCGGTTGAAAATGATGACCGTATCGATAGTTTGTAAGTAGTACGTTATAATTATACCATGAATTTATTATAATGGCTAAATTTTATTTTTTCATTATAATTTCCTCGTGTCATTAAATTTCTAATAATTTATGCAGTTTGCGATTGTCATCTTAAAACTAAACGTGTGTAGTATTATAATATATAGATAGGTATCTGGTATACTAATAATAGTTAAATTTTACATAAATTTTGTTTAATTGTTTACATAAACCATAATATCATGTTTACTATAATTTTACTGAATCATATTGATTAAATTAATAGATAACTTTTTACTAATTGGTTTAATTAAGTCATTTTAAATAACCACACCGGGTGGTAAGTACCTATCCTGCAATAATGTAATCCATATTATTATTTTACATAACGCTCTATAGTTAGTATTTAAATAACAATGATTTTGTACTACATTTTGAAAATGTGTTAGTTTTGTTAATATTATCTTTTACTTTACAACCCTTAACAGTACAATGCGTATATAATATGTAGGTATTTCAAAATAATAATATTGGCTTGTGGGAGTAAAACTTAACTATATAAATACCACTATTGAACCATATATATATATATATATATTATACACGATATACTACAATTATATGAAGTATATTGTATATTATATGTGCGACTATAATATTATATAGTATACATAAATACGTATATATACTACATAGTATTATATAGGTATTGCCATATAACTGTTGGCTTATAATTTATATACTGTATTCAGCGGCGGCATCACGATGAGCAAATAATACGTTTTGTTTTGTTCGTCTTCGACCTAAATTTTACCTGCAAACTCAATGGATTTCCTACTAAAATCGTCCCTACAATATAAATCATATAAAAAAAATATAGGTTTTTAAAAAAAGACGGGTCCATCAATAAAATACACATATAGAAATACAGATGTTCGTAGAATGACTTCTCCTGAAAGGTTTTGACCGAACAATGCCTGCAGGTCAGCCAGACTGTGAGGAGCCCCAAAGGTCCAGGCGACCCAATGTCTACCTTTTTTGCCCCCTCCACCACGTCCTCGTCCGTTCATACCTGGAGTATGACTATTATGTTTTTGAAATTGTCGGCATATATAGGTACATTCGTTTTTGGCGGTGCCCACACTGCAGTGTACGTCTAGTGTTTGTATAGTATTCGACAGTCTGTAGAACTGAGGTGGTGGTCAGTGAGTGAGTGTGCTTCGACCGTAAAACTCAGTTTTAATCCATGTGCCGGGAAAACGTTTTGTCGCCGGTAGTCGGGACTATGTGCCAAGAATTGAAAATGAAAACCAAAAGAAAATGTTACAGAAAATCCCCGTTGTCGATGCCCAAAGGTACAGTACATCTATAATATTATATTATAATTTTATAATATTCTGAGAGTTATTATACGTTTTATTTGAGGATTTTTCGTCGCATTTTTTCTTCTATATTTTATTATAATTTTATTCATTATTTTTTTTATCAGTAAACTGGTGGGTTCCCTATAGTGATATATTCGAGTACGTGAGTCTGGAAACAATTTTGCTTAAATGGATTTTGATTGTTAGTAGATAAATCACGTTTTCGCGAACCGAGTGCGTCACCGTTCACCGTCGTCACACGTGCGCCGACGCGCCGGCGGTTTGCCCACTTTTGTCGGTCGGTAGCGTTAAAAAAAGTGCGCACGCCAATGGGATGAAATAGTAATAATACCTAAGTTTTCTTGTTCACTTACATCGAGTCTATAAATAATTGTATTCAAATTTACTTACGCACATAATATTACAAGTTGAAACGATTTATTTAAATTCTTGTTGGAACCCGAATAAATAAAATCTTACGTTATTCTATATTACAAACGCATTCGTAATGAACGACAAACAAAAATTAATAGGTGAAATAATAGAATTAACACATGAATTATGACAATTAAATTATATGTATTAGAAATTGAGATATTGATGTGCAATTGAAGTGTAAATTATTTTTACTATTCCGAGGTCGTTTTAAAAATGTCTAAAATACACATGAACTCCCACACATCCAAATGTTATGCATATCTTTACATAAGAACAATCTAAATTTTTTTTAACTTGACATTAAAAAATAATTATAACTTAAAAGTCATAGGAATTAAACTTTATAAAACACTAACTTACTTATTATTAGTACTATACACCTAATCATTGGTATCCTTCACGAGTTGTCCAATACAAATTCTACAGCTTATCTTTAGCAACTACGTAGGAACAGCGTTAGTATTTCACTTCTTAGTATAATCATATCAAATAAATATTGTTTTCTGGTGTAATAAAACTTCTAATTAATCTATGGTTGAACATGGTTTCTTTTTAAATTATACAGTATTTTACACCTATGTTACACGGTTGTTAAATTTATACTTCCATAGTAATACATTAGAGTAATACTTCGAAGCCAATTTTATCGCATTGTACACATTTTGCGCGTTCTCCTTATTGCATTAGTGAAAATGACTTTATCGCAAATTCAGTAAGTCATACAATATTAAGGTAAAAAAAAAATGGTTTAAATGTTTTACTCTAGTATTACATCATATAGTCAGGCACGCGACTATATTTAGTCTTATATCGACTTATATTTATACATCGAACCTAGGTAGTGGATGTACTTAAAATGTGTGCAACGATTGAGTATTAAATTCAATATGCAAGTAGTTATTGGTAGGTAGGTAGGTAGGTAGGTAGGTAGGTATGTATTAAAATATTAATTTATTTAGTACCACAATATACCGAATATGTTATTACTTATTGTACAATAATGGAATAACTAATAAGTTTGAGTACAATGCTTAAATAACAAATTAAACTACCTACTACTATGAATTATGATCCATATTTTATATGTGATGAATGTTTACCACATTTGTACAATATTAATTATTGTCATATTATAAATTTAAGATAGTAATCATAATAATAATAACAATAATAATTTAATATTATAAATTTAATTTATTATAATATTGTTATTTTACAATAAAGTGCCAATCGTAGGTAATTCAAACATAAAACGGCAAGCTAAAATTACTAATATTAATATTAAAATAATATTAACTAATATTAAAATTATTATATTTGAATAGTATGAAACTATGATCATCAATTATCATCCATATGGCTTTAAATAGATTTCATGCATAAGATCGTTCTCTATTCTTCGTTGGTACCTATTATAAAGTAGTGTCTCACTATTAATTATTTCTTGAGGAAAATGACCTGCCTTAGACCCGAGGTCAACGTTTTTTCTTTAATTTATAAACATAAACATTTAATACGTAAAAGACTAGGAAATAAAACAAAGTGACCATATTATAAAATATAAACAATGTCCAAACCTGGTGTCAAGGTTGCTTTGGTAAACAAACCGCGCTATGAACTATGTAGTCAAATTGTTTTAGTCCCGATAGTTAGTGTAGTTGTCTCGGTGAGTTAGTGTCAGATAGAACTGATTTTTGTTGCAACAGAATTCATAATTTTACCACCATGTGGCTAAATTTATTTTTAATAAAAAATTAGTGTTTAATTTATGCGTGAGTTATCGAGGAAATACATGGAATTCAAAAGTAACGCCGGCGGTAATATATTGCACTCGATGTACTGCAGTAGGATAACTGATTCATTTGATGTAAATATGGGCAAATTGATTATTAATACTCGTGACTTTTTACTTGTTTTCGGGTCTACAGAGATGAGAGAGAGGAGCAGAAATGCGGCAAGGACACGTAGGGAGAACGAGAATGCCGAATTCCTAGAGTTGGCCAAACTCTTGCCATTACCAGCGGCCATTACTAGCCAATTAGATAAAGCTTCAGTCATCCGGTTGACCACTAGCTACTTAAAAATGAGACACGTCTTCCCTAACGGTAAGAATAACACGTGATTTATTATTATCTATATTCAGAATTAGTTTGCAATGTTAATACTTAAGTGCTAATAATATTTATTACACTTATATCATAATTTAGGTTTGGGTGACGCTTGGGGTGCGGCGACTCCAGCAAGCCATGCAAAAGAAGCTTGCATTAAAGAGCTTGGGTCATATCTACTACAGGTAAATATATTAAAGGTAATTAGATGAAACGGGTAAAAATTATATGTATGAGTGTGTGACGATTCAGAATTCAAATAACAACGTTTTGTTTTTAATGTCCCGATTATTTTATGAAGCCATTGATTGAACCTGTTTAATCAATGACCAAGCAAATAACAAATTAGATCATACAAATATTTAACAACACTTTTTTTATTTATAACAATACAATTGATCCATCCGCTTAATGACACCGGAAAAGCTATTGGCATGTGCTTTTCAGAAGCCACATATTCAACCCAAACATAATAATTTTTTTTTATTGATACAATATCCTCGGTGACATAGGCCATTGGGTTTACAAATAATATAAATCGATAACATATTATTATGTGTACTATTTCTAAATATTAATATTAATTTTAAATTTTGGTTTGAAGATTGGTGGCTGTGATGACATTGACTATGGGTTTCGGGCAGGTTGTAACTATAATTCTGATGTTGTGGTATATTCCGCATTCAGTGAGAATGTGGTTGATGATGACTTGGATACCTCAAGTTGTGCATATTGGGGTTCTTTTTTAATCTATGAAGAAACTGTGGAAGATTTGAGTATGTCCGATTCTGAGTCTAGATAGGGAAATGTCCAATTTTCGGTGTTATGTTTGATGTGATTCAGTTTAGTGGTGTAGGATGTCCATTTCTGGTGCCATCTTAGTTGGCATTTATTTGTTATAAACATTTGTTAATAATCATCAACTATTATATTGTATAGTTCATATTATATTTACCTGTGATTTTATTTTTAGAGTCTTGATGGTTTTATATTCGTCGTAGGCGGCGATGGTAAGATCATGTATATATCCGAAACAGCTTCTGTTCATTTGGGGTTGTCACAGGTATATACAATATATTATTGTTACATTACAATTTAAATTTATAATTTGAAAAAAGATGTTTCTAAAATACTTTTTCTTTAATCGCTATTTTAAATAATTCATTTTTAATGTCAATTGGTATTACTGCTTTAAGGTGGAATTGACTGGTAATAGTATATTTGAATATATCCATCAAGCCGATCACGATGAAATGATATCAGTGCTTAGTCCACCTCTTCCTCAAAATCTTCCAGCGGAGAACATGATGATGAGTGAGTTATTATATAATACACTATTTCTTCAATTAATTAGAAATTACGGACACTAATAAAAAAAAATTTAGATTCGACAGTATTTGAACTTCCACGTGTATTTTTTTTACGAATGAAATGTGTATTGGCAAAACGGAACGCTGGGCTTACAACAGGAGGATATAAGGTAAATTTTTATTACATAATAATATATATAATACATACATAGAGTTATAATTTATAAATAAATTATAATAAAAACTTAAACAAACAAAATTGGCGATTGGTATTATTGTATTAAAGTCTGATTGCTTGTATTATCTATGTCTAATGACAGAAGTCTGTAAATTAACTTGAAATTTCAGTTCTTCAGTTTTAGGACAATATTTAACTCGTTAATCAGTTATGTGATATAATAGATTTTATCACATATTATTAAGCCTTAAATATAAGAGTAATATTTTAAAAAGTATTTAAAATTTCATGTTTATGAATTTACAAAACATTTATTTTTAAAAGCTTAAAGCTTGAGAACTACCCTATGATAATATTCTGTAATATACTTGAACATTTAATAACTATCGGTAATTTATGGTTTATTAGATAATCACATACAATAGTATTAGTTAATAATTAATATAGGTAGATATTTATTGAACAGAGAGATTAGGTTGGTAGCAAAATGTTATATTAAAGATTATATTTTTCCATTGTACCCAAACTTAATAAGATGTAACTCTAATAGAATATTTTATTAATTAATAGTTGTATAGTATTATATCCACTACTTATTTGAATTTAAGCTAATATGTTTGGTTATTATTTTGCGCCATTTTATCGGTATATCTCAGTTAACAAAGCATTGATATCGTTCGTATTATTTCCTGTTGGTAATATGTTACGATATAATAGGTAATAATAAATAAATAATAGTAGGTTTATTATTATCATTGATCTAAAGACAAGATGCAAATTTAATATTGTACTTTCAACTATACAATTTTAATAACAATTATACAAAAGGTACATTGGTCGACATTAAAAAAAAATATTGAAATAGCTTCAAAATATAGTTCTTATCAATTTTCGAAGGTATTTCATCAATTTCGTACTTTTATCATATTTTATTAAAAATGAAACTTGCATATTAACACGTAGGCGATGTAGAATTACCTATCTTTGGTGTAGGTACGTGTGATAATGATAAGAAAAAAATAAAACAATGTAACATGTTATTTTTTTTTTATCATAAGGATAAAGAGTTTTAAATTATCACGACAAACACGAAGAAATAAAGCTACCTATAGGTTAATGACATTTAATATTATTGTTGTACTGAATCACTAACTACAGCCTAAACAATAAAACTATAAAATGGTCTGGTGGCAGTTTAAACACTTACTGCCAATACAAAAACCTGAACGTGTTTACTTTTAAAATTTACTATTCAGTCATCTTGTACATACTCATACATGATTGTAAAAGCTAACGAGACGAAAAATCAATATTTAAATTTATTAAAATAAATATTTGAATTATAAATAACCGCATTGCAGTATTAAAATTTTTTTTTTCGTTAAACTAATGTATATAGTAAAAAAAAATTATAATTTGTTTGAATGCAACTTTGAGGAACACAGTTTAAGATTTAAATAAATAACATGTGCATGGTTTATGATGTGAAAATGTGAAATTATAATGTAGTTATGTACAAAACATTATCTAATTATCAATTAAGAATTAATGTTTATAAAATATTATATTTTATTCATAATAATAATAAGTAAAGTTAAAAATAGTTTAATGTGTAAACAATAATAAAACGTGTAAACAATGTAGAAAATAACCTTCACCATTATTATACATTTAAAATAATTTTATAAATATAAGAGTTTCATTGTTTATTCAACTAAAAAATTTAGTGATATAAAAATTTAAAACGTTAATAGTTGATTTTCATTTGTTTTTTAGTCATTTTTAAACTTTATAAAATAACTATATAAAATAAAATTACATTGAGTAAAAGTGTTTTAAATGTATTGTTCAATAATGAATAATGTTTATGGAAATTCCAATGATAAAATGTTTTGTTTAATCGTAGTAACCAAATCTTTAGACTCAATTCATATTATAATTACTGTGATCAAATAATAATTATTATGAGGTTTTGCACAATCATTCTACACCCAGGGTACCTACTACCTACTACCTATAACTAAAAATAGTTTTGCTAAGTCTAATTTGTGTACATATTTTCCACGGTGCGTATAAAAACACAAATAAACTAAAAAAAATTGGAAAAATTTGATTTCGTTTAACACATATTCTATATAATTTATTCAATGATGCTGATGGATATAATTAGCTTATTTCCTAACAGAGGTTCAATTATAACCAATTAATAAAATATACCTATTGAGGAAACGCGAGTACCCATCGATTCAATAAACGAGCAAACCTATAATAAGTAATAACACAAATACGCTTAATAAGAAATGAGTGTGTTAACTTGCCTAGCACTTTTTCTTTGAAACAATTATTAAGTATTGTTTTATGCGTGTAGGTGTTCAGCATTTTATTTGATACGATCGGTTCCCTCAACAAACTATCCAAGTTCACCATCCGGAATACAAACAACCACTTATGTGAAAACGCCAATATATTTTGAAACGTCGTTTACTTTTGATATTACTACGGAAATAAATATTTTAGATTTAAATTCCTGGTGTTTGAATCTGAAAAATAATGAAGGCATAACACGGGGCGTGTTAAGAAAATATTTGTATCTAATTTTTCCGTGGAAGTTAAACCTAAAACACAACTCAAATAAATTCTCCACTTAAATTTTAACTTTAAAAAAAATGAATACTTATAGAATTCTGAAAAGTATACTGCAATCTATACTGTAAACGTGTATTATCACTTTTCAATCAGTGCAATCAACTAGTTTATGAAAATAATACTACGTAAACAACTATCTAATTGGTACTTATTAAGTCCATACCTGCTTGCTTATTTATTCTTAACATAATGATTGGGAACGTAACGATTAGAAATTAAGAAAATTATTAACACTTCAATTAATATTCACAAAATAATATTTTTTTTACATAATAATGTTACAACAATATTTTACGTCCTGCGGGGTTGTATAGGTGTACTATACAAAAAACATTAATTATATTATAGTATATTATGTGAGAAAAGGAGTTCTTATTTTGTTTTTTTCAGCGTTCTATTCAGACAAAATAGATATAGGAATCATGGAATACGCAGAAATATCTTTAAAAAAAACAATAGTTGGGTTTGAGACTCTGTACGTTATTTTCGATTTCTTATTACGACTATATTATATGGTCACTTGTATAGTTTCAAAATGTATTTTTTTACGCCGAGACGGTAGTATAAATTAATATACTTATAATTAGTGTATTATATGAGAATGTGTTAAAAATTAAAATTATTTTATATCGTTGAAGTTTTTATTATAAAATAGTTTATCATATTATGTATCGTGTTACCTGTATTATACATTATTTATACGTATATTATGGAATATTTTATATCACGCAATATACGTATAATTTGAAATACCCCATGCCGTATATTCTGCACGCGGTCAGTTCTAGGATTTATTTAATATTATACACATCCAATTAGGATAGCACCATTATGGTAGCTGAGCATTGGTCGTATACTATATATATGTATACAGTTATATATATATATATATGTATAGGTAGGAGGTATATATGTATTATATTATTATACAACATTATACGTTTTTCTTTCCCTATATACATAGAAAAGTTTCATATATTTGATTTATGATCTATATATGTACGTACGTATAATATATAACAATATATGATGTACATTTTTTTGTTGTTGCGGACGGCTTAAGTGTAGGAAATAAAAATCACTCGTGTGCCCTGGCGTGTGTTCGTGCATACATTACGGAGCTAATGCTCGCGCATATATAGGCTCATATAACAAACGGGCGCGTATTGCTGTAGCATTAAAATAAATATATATATATTATATTATACATGTATAATTATATAATCACACCGTACGCGCACGGTATAATATTTGTGCCGTGTCGATTGTTATAATATACGTAATAATATAGGATGTACAATATACGTACTAGTGGGCAGGAAATGGGATGAAAGGAGCGGGGAAAATAAAAAGGAGTAAAATAATAAAATACAACGGGCGGCGCCATGTTGCGGGGGCCCAGGTGTGCGCGCGAGTGAGTTTAATCGCCGCCGTATTTACCTGTATTTTTGGCTGTCCGTTTGCCATTGGTCGCGCTCGCCGCGGGCGTCCTTGCAACACTCTTCTAGAGTCCTCCTCTTTTTCAATGTTTTTTCCTCGCTACTTCTTTCTTCTCAGGACGATCGAGCTCGCGCTCCAGGATGAATGAAAAAAGCGCGAAACATCTGATTATCTGGCCGTACCAACTATACAAAGGCTGCGTATATTGCACGGCGGTATAGGTGCATGCCCTGCTCCAGGGTGGGCCAATAGGATATCGTATAATATTACATAATATTGATTTATCGAACACTAGATGAAGTGAAAAATCGATGGTTCATCTGGTAGCTGTGATCTGTATATGATAATGCTTGTATATAATAATAATATATAATAATTAAACATCATAAATACTTTATTGGACATCATAATATATTATGTAGTATAGGTACATGACGTTGGATTACCTAGATTCTTTTCTTCGTTTTTATCTACAGTCATTCCCGATTCTGTGGTCAAAATGGGAGGGCTAGACAATTATTCTCCAGAGCGGTCTGTTCCTGTTATAGGAAGACATTAAAACTTATAGTTTTCTGATCATTTTTGGGATGGATTGTACCTATATTTGTATAATATAGAAGACTTCAGTATGAATGTAAGACGTATATAGTTTATTGCAAACTTTAATGCAGGTGATCACCTGCACAGCATGCATACAAAATTACAAACACATACATTACGAAGATTATTATTACATAATCTATATGACTACATAGGATAAGAATAATTCAAAAACAGTGGTTTTCGTCAAAGACATTGTGTATTTGCGTATTATATTTTCCGACCATAATTTGTAGTTCATAGTTATCTACTGCCACAGTGCCATATATGATATTATTATAAAATTATAATGTATGATATTATGAGCATGTTTTCAATATTTTAAATGTATTATGTAGGTAATAGCTGGTATGCGTATATAGTACATATATGTATACCTACATAGATAGGTATAATAGCCTTGAAAATATCTACTAATATCAGTGTAGAACTGTTGTTATAGTTTTTTAATTTGTCTATGTATTATCAAAAAGATTTTCCATCACTTATATATTTTACATCGTAGATATATAGGTATTTATCTAGTATAATATTTTTGATTACTGTTGTAAATATATGGATGGACTACGCGTGCGGTTAAAATAACATATAGTACTAGCCAGTGGCTGCTGAGTGCATATTATAATGTAGCTTTAACAAACATTTTGTCATATATTGCTAAACATATACTCGCTAGTTTTCATAACATATTTAAGTATTGTATTATAAACGTATCATCACTGTAATCACAAAAACGTATAATTTCATATTATATTATATCAAATATTAAGATATTATGTTTTTAATGTACATTATAATCTTCGATTCTACAACTGTTTTAAACTTTTAACTAAACCAAAAATATAAAATATTAGATCCTGCGTTTTTATAAATACTGTGATCGGAATAAAAGCGTACTTGGAATTTAGATATATGGTATTTAAAAATGTCTTTCTTTTTAATTTGTTAAATATCTTAACATTTATAAATATTGTATGTCTGTATTGACTATTTGTTCTAAAACAACCATACAATATAATTCATTTAATTAATATAAATATGAATTTCTTTCTTTGCAATCGTTATTTGGTATACTTTGTTCAGCGGCGGAGGAAAGGCAGGGCAGATGCGCAGGCCCCCGCCATTTTAGGGCATTTTTTTCATGGAATTTGATGATTTTTAAGCCTATAATTTTGCTTTTCGAATTATAAAAACAAATCCCGTCTGCAATGGCGGCTTGTGGGTTTTTAATATAATGATTGGAATACCTATAATAAACCAGTGAGAGTAAAAATAAAATATAATGCCGACAACAACGTCCAAAACAATTTTGATGTTAAAATCTTGAAGTTTTTTTAAATTTTTGTGTAACACTTGTATTTAGTGTAGGTACTTAAACATTTAATTTTTAATTTGTACATATTTTATTTTAATAAATATTTAAAAAATTCTTACGAGTACCTAAGTACTAAGACGTGCCAAAACATTTTTTTTTTGCCTTACGAAAAAAAGTTTCTTGGTCCCATGAAAAAATCTACCCCCGCAAAAACTTCTCGCCGGCACTGACTTTGTTAGATAAATGAAAATAAGCAGATTTTACATATCACAGTACCACATATACACATACATGGGCAGTTATGCTACATTTTTTATGATAAGATAAAAGTAAATACTATTAAAGATTAGCCCGGATCAGATAATGTTGACGGTGATTAGGAGGAGTACAATAGTATACAATATGCAAAACTTTCTGTTATGACAGGAGTGAGAAATTATAGCAACATCGGCAAAAAGATTGAGCACGCTTACTTAATAGTATATAAGGTAATATAAATATTGTTAGTATTATAGAAATGTGATATAGTACAGTAAAATTGTGTACCTACTGCCAACATAGAATATAGATACCTATTACTTCTGTACTACAATGTTTATACACATAATATGTTATGAGTTATGACTTATGTCACTTATGTTCCCAGTACAAAATTTCATGAAGTATAAGAATTTTTACTATTTGCAACTATTACAAATTAAATAATTATATTATCATAAATATAGATTATAGAATATTTATACGCTATGTAAGTACTAAGTGGACGTTTATGCTACAAACACATCATACGTTTTCCGTCTTACAAACCCATAATATAACAAATTGAACTTTTTGAATAATATATTTAACTATATTATGTTTGAGTGAACAAAATTGACCTATCATCAAATATAAATGTAAGAATTTTATCCAAATAAATGGATTATCCAAAACTCGCAATTTGCTATTTTATGCGTTTGTAGGATTACGGAGTAAAGAGACAACGCACACGGTTTAGGGTCCTCTTAATAATGTAGTATATACAAATAACCGTATATAGTATAATATTTATACGTATAACGTATTGATAGTATTGATACATACTTGCAGGTGTAACATGTATTTATGTGCACGACGCACTAACTATACACGAAAATTCGAATCGCAATAGGTAGTCACGTTCTGGAGAATTATACTTCAAAGTAAAAATAACGTACAGGAATTTTCAAATCCTTTCTATTGTGTAACATAATATTACGAGCGTCCTCGCTATAGGTGAGTTTTCCGAAACGTGTCCAAGTCCAGGCATGTCGAATGCTGGAGTGAAAACGTTTTAAAACAACCTATACACTCCACATGTGGTGTCGATAGCCGAAGATTGATTACGCGAACCGGTCTCATTCGTCGTATGTACCACTACACAGTACCTACATATTATAATAGTCTCTAATCCCGTCCGCTTATTGATACCTCACGATCGGCTCCAACGTGTCTGAGCCACGGAGAACACCTATGATTTTTATTACTATTCAGAACCTATTGTCCCGGGTGCCGAAGGTACATTTTGGAATTTTTTGGGTATATTTTTCGAAATGAAAGACACAGAGAGGTAGAGGTGAAGAAAAAAATATCTCACACCTGTGAAGAGACCCGTATTTAATTTATTCTAATACTTAAATCTCGTATTTTTGGTTGTGGTCACGTCTCGGCTATTATGAATGGACTTCTTGACACCTTCTCAACGTGCACATTATATTACCTAGCCTATTATAACCCATGTGACTATATGATGCAGCTACGACCTTTAGAACAGGTCTTATGTTGTTGTTTTTTTTCGTATACATATATAATATAATATAATATAGTATATATAAGTAAACTTATATATATATTTTATAATGGTATTTTTTCAACGGCATAATATAATAACACACATTTTACACACACACACAATATATATGTATATAGTATTATTGTGTTTGTGAGTAGTGACTAGTGTATGCTGCAGTAGGTACCTACCTATATATATATATATATATGTGTATATATATTATACGACTCTATCAATGGTCGTTTTTGTTTAGACATGTAAGTATACATCCGTTTCGATATTGTCATATTGAATTTTCGTCGAACACCCAAGGGGATCATATTTCTAAAGTAAATGTAAACTATATTCATTTGCCGTCATATACACGAAAAAAGTATCATATATTGTATACACACACGACACACATCCATGTCATAGCGGTATGTGCGTGTGTGTTGTGTTCGATAATTGGCCTTAAAAAATGAAATCCTGATATGTTTGTTGTCATTTAACTGTATTTAAAAATTGATATTATTATCTATATAGGTAGTTCATCAGTTATCAACTATAGTTTAACTTGCATAAGATTATTATTCTCAATAAAGTTCATACAGTATGAGCTATGAAACTATGAATGCCATTTTGATTCCATATTGAGTCTTTATAGTATTTTATACTATAATATTTAAGTATTCATTAAAAAAATAAGCTACTATATAACGTATTTTACGATAAATATTTTTCAGCCAATCCATGATTATTATCTTTATTATAGTCTATATTACTATAATTATAATTTATAACTAAATTATTAATTACACCATATGTATTTATTTTGTTAACTATGTATAGGTTATTCACTGTTCTGGTTACTTGAAAGTGAGACAATACCCAGCCGGAATGCCTGGGATAGAAACCGTTGGCCTAGTTGCAGTTGGCCATTCGTTACCTCCACATGCCATCACAGAGATTAAATTGCATTCGAATATGTTTATGTTCCGTGCGAGTTTGGACTTGAAGCTCATATTTCTAGATGCCAGGTAAGTCAAGTCAGCTATTTTTAAAATCCCGATTAATAATAATATTTTCATTATGTCTATAGATAACATAGACTTTTGTTTTCATTTATTTTTTTACAACTAATGATAGCAATGGTTAAAAATATGTTATTAGACATTTTCAACGCACGCCTTTTGTTTGATTTTCTATACCTATTATTTTACATCGTGTAACTTTGTGTAAAAATAATGGTATTTTATTTCATTATTAAATTACAGAGTGTCTCAGCTGACAGGATATGAACCTCAGGATTTAATCGAAAAGACACTTTACCATTACATACATGGCAGTGATATTCATAACATGAAACTCTCGCATCACACGCGTAAGTACTAAAAACAAATCATTAAATTTGCAGTAAATTATAATTATTTTGTTCGTTCCAGTGTTATTGAAAGGCCAAGTTACCACGAAATACTACAGGCTGTTGGCCAAAGACGGTGGTTGGGTGTGGGTTCAAAGTTACGCCACTATAGTCCATAATAGTAGATCTTCGAGGCCTCATTGTATAGTTAGCGTAAATTACGTACTGAGGTGAATAAATTAAATATTTAATTGAAAACACAATTGACGGAACCATATAATATTAATTTACGTGATTATTCTTCAGTGAGTCCGAAATGAAAGACGTTTGCTTGTCCGTGAGCAACAACGGTTGCGCGACATCTCAGAACGGCAATGAAGACGCGGCAATACAAAACAAGCCCAGCAAAGCGCAACAAAACCAAAGACAATCGAATCAAAATCACAGGTATCACAGGCCACCAGTGGTCACCGACGAAGAGTACAGTGATTCCAGTGGTGGACTTTACAATGACTACGTGAGCAGTAATAGTGTAAGTGTGCAAAACAAAAAAAACATCTTAGTTATCGCCCGTTATAAGTTATTATAGGTATCGGTGAATAGCACTGTTTATGTTTTATTAGGACTCTCTGGCAATCGTGGGTGTCATAATATTAAACAGTTATATATATTATAGTGTTATACAATGACGTGATTCGTGATATATGATTTGTTAGTATTGCTACACGAGCGTATGGTATAAAATAATATGTGTAATGTATTGAAGTATAGGCATAAATATATTTTTTAACAATACAAGACCCTCAGTCGCATGGGTCATTGGGTTTAGGAAATATAATTAAATAGATAACATAACATAATGTGAACTTATTCTATATGATTTTAAATTTTGGTTTGAAAATTGAAGATTGGTGAAATAGGGATATTGTTGTTAACCTATATAGGTTCCGTTAAACGGCGGTTTATAATGACTATACATCTTAAACCAATTTGAAAGAGACTTGTGCAGTTGTGCGTCATAAACGCTGAGACGGATAACATTATCTTCTTTAATATTAGGTTGATTTGAGAATTACATTTTACATTCATGTATATATATATATTATATTATGTATATTTGTATTGTATACATCACATAAAAATTCAACTAAAATTTGTTTGTGACTCCGGTTTCTGTAGATTCTTATGTGTAATTGTAATACGATTTTATTATTGTTTATTTTTCCTACACAACCTTTACACAATAAAGTTATTTTTAATCTTGGACATTATTTATATGCATTAGCATAATATTACACCGTTACAAAAAGGGTAATGTAGTTTACGGTAATACCACAGATTATATAATAATATAATATTATATAATATAATATAATATAAAAAATAATAAAATAATAATAATATTATATAATCTGTGGTAATACTGTATACAACATTATAGGTATGCACACTTGAAGTGTTATCTTCATCTTTTAAAATGTGACAACATGTATTTACATATACCTATGTGATACAATATATTATATCTTGGTACATATTATGCAGCTTAAAAGAAAATCCTATAAAAATGTATTATTTAAATATGTTGTAGGTAAGTAAAAGATTTAAAATTTTAAACATACATGCGTTTTAAACTATAAATATTATAGCAGTATACAAACAAAATATAAGATCACCGTTTGTCGTTTGTGTAACGTGACAGCGATTTATATTCAGACATAAATCGAAATCATATTCGATTCGAGTGGAACCATATAGGCTATAACTGACGCCATGGACAAATTCTTATTAACTAAAAGTTATTAGATTCTAGTAAAGAAGACCCCGGACGGCGGACGGGTAAAGTTATTGGGTATTTCAACCTGCTTGTATCAATTAAAATTACAGTTAATATGTATTATCTACAAACTAGGAGTAGTGAGTGTCCTACGGTCGAATACTCATTCCATAAATATAATATTATAAATCATAATATATTTTATGAGCCTATATAGATATATTTGTACCTATATGAATATACGATATACCCACAACCTAGATTGATTATACACACAGCCAGTGACCGGTATAGGCGGTACCATATCATATTATTTTACAACGCTTATTCGAACAAAATTAACAAAAATAATGTTTTTATACAGCGCAGTTTTCCTCTAGGTATAAAAACAAAAATAATACATATTAGTATAGGTACTACGGATTAGGTATTAGTGTATTACGTGATATGTATTATATTATAAATTATAATACCATATCGTTAAAATTAATAGGCTACGTTCCTGTTGGTTTTTAAACATTTTGACACAATACGTATTACAAATTGTATAGGCACCTATATTTAAATGTAATGTCGTAATCGTCGTCACCACACTACCTACTATAGTCATGCCGCCACCGGTGATCCTCAAAGCGAAAATTCGTGAATGGAGAGCGTGGGTTGGAGGGTTGGGAGGAAACTACGTTGTTCGAGAGACAATATACCCTTCAGCGGTGACATTTCACGTGCTTATATTACAGGAGTTTCTAACAATTATGTTTTGGCGTTATACAAGTACGCACGTTAGAGACGCATTTCCCGCCCTTGTAATGGCTTGTACATAAACATAATATTATGTGCGTTCAAGTTTATAATATAATATTATGTTCTCGATAGTCCATGTTTCTTATTGTTATACGTGGAGCCCGTAGAGGTATATCATATGAAAAGAATAGTTGAAGCACGATTTCCGCACGTTAAGAAATTCCCCTACCCAGCCTACCCAAAATATTTAACATAAACTGTTATCAATTATACGGATACCCATTAGTTTTTAGTAATTGTTAAGAAATGGATTATTTTCATTAGTTGGATTTTGATGAGCCAATGCCTTTATTGAGCCCCAACTATATAGTTCTCATATAGTATGAATTATGATACAACCTACCATACAGACGACACTTTATAATACCCTGCAGTAATATGTACACCTATTACCTACCTTTAGGTTGTGTACAACACACATGCCAATGTTTTCAATATTTTCTAATCTTTTTTTCAAAAACATTACATACTAGGCGATTAATCGCCATACTTAAACGTATCATAAGTAAATAATAATATTCCAACACGCACGTCGTTTATCATATAATATTATATCGTAAATATACGTAATTGTACCTACATAATATATTAAACGATAATAAATGAACCGTTTTGCGTTTCTGATGCAGGAACCGCAATCGCTGGTCAACGGTCCCGTCGGCGGCGGCGGCGGTGACGGCACGGGTCACCATCACCCGCCTCACCTGAACATCATTCCCGCGGCCAACATGTACACGGTCGAAGAGTACAACATCTATCCAGAACTCTTCTACCCGTACGACCAGACGTGCCCGCGGCCGTTCAGCTCTGCCTCCAGCTGCTCCAGTTCGAACGAGAGCGACCGGATGCAGCTGGCGCATCAAGCCGGCGGCGGTGGATATACGCCGCCCGCGGCCATGCTCATGAGCGCCACTGGCCACCACGACGACCATCACGCCGCGGCCGCGTACCAGGCGTTAACGCCTATCGGCGCCTCGCTGCCCGTCACTGTCGTCGGTCACCACCACGGTGTCATCGTCGATAACCAGCACTACACCGCCGTCAACGAATACGTCCACTGATCGCTCGCCGCCGGACGTACACACTCAAAACGTCATGACACGGAGTAGCTGCAGTCTTTTCGTTCTAACGCGAAACGGCAGCGACTAAGTATAGGATATTTATATGACTATATATATAATATGTAAATTGTACATATATAATATATATATATAAAGTTAAACATGTATGATTACATACAAATATATATACCTATATATATAATTTAGCTTAGGTAATATAAAATAGTAATAATTATGTTGTATAAATAGGTATATTGTACGAGTAGAGCGATGGCGTATGAAATATCGCTATCGGACACTCTTGTTCTTGTACCATATACCTAAAATATAAAATAATGATGTGTTGTGCGCGGGATTGTTCGATCGGACGCCGCGGGCAGTGTTGTCATTCGTGTGTTGTAGGCGTGTGCCCCGCTCTAAGGGTTGGACGGGCAGTTCTGCTGGTTGTTCAGAGACCATGCGTGTTCGCCGCATTTATAATATTTCGAGTTCACGGCTACATGTGACGCTCGAGGCGTATATATGGTCATACCTATGTCGAGCAGCCAAAGACGTGACGCGAGCTATAGACATTTAATGTACAAAAATAACACCACGAGCACATATTTTTGTGCATAAATTATCTTCGTGCGTGTTCTATCATTCCACCACTTATAGCCAAGTCGTATTTGTGGGCCCATGTCGATTATATGAAATCATAAAAGTATAATCTACCTGGAATCGGGATTGACGTGTCAAAGTCGATAATAATATCTGCTTACCCACAAAAGTCATACCTATATATAAGATATTGTGTATCCGAAAACAACTTAAACTTTTTTTTACTTACCAAACATATACATTGAAATTTTTCAAAAAACTCAATGCCAGCGAGCTGGTATACTAAATTAATTTGATTTATTGTAAATTTAACTGTACATAATCTTTGCAATGACAATTGTACGTCATGATTATAATAATATTTACGGTATCGTATGAATAAGTAGATTTATACTTATTATTCCTGTTAATTCTGTAGAATATTTATTTATTATTTATTTGTACATTTTATGATAATTTTACCTGTATAATTTATTAATATAGACATACATTATAAAATATATATATATCAATATTGTGTTTGGTTGATATTTCCTATAATTGTATTATAATATACATTTCTTTGCTAATTATATACATAATATACAGGCACGGATTAAGGGGTGAAGGCCGCGCAGTGGAAGCCACGTTTACCAGCTAGGTCTTATAATGTTGTCAGCTTAAACGTTTATTAAGTGGTCACTTATTTTATTATTTATATTCTAAATTTAATAGAAAAAATATTACAACTTACATCAAGAGATAAACTAAAGAAAAAAAAAGGTGGGCAAGTTGATACCGCTTTGCTATAGGTTCATAAGGTGCCATTATGTGCTGCAGGATCACTGTATGTGTTAAATTTGAAGAAAATTTTTTTTTTTTAATTAGTATACGATTTTGAGCAGACTGTCTGTAACTTGTGACCCTATATTACTAAATACCCATATTATATATAATATATTTATATTGCTATCAAAATAATTTATTTTACTAGTATAGGTATATGTACAGTAGATTCATTTCATTTTTGTCGAAAAAATTGCATTTGAAAATGCCATTGTATGGAATATAATATTACTTATACCTTAAATTTTTCAAGTACCAATAATAATATTTTTTAATTGCAACTAAATAACTGAAATTATTATTCTTCTTCAAAATATCTAAATTCATTCAAATTTGAACTTAAAATATCTATGTGACGGATGTAAGTTTACAATTACTATGAAAAAATCTGATTTATGTATCTTTAATATTTTTTAAATGCTATAATTGAAACTTATAAGAATCATTGTGTAAAATTTGCCAGCATATTAAGTCCGCAATTTTTTTTTCCAAGGAGATAAAATCCCATATGATTTCAACGTTGTAGGTCTATATAATGAGCTTTATGAGATCTAAATCTGCAATTTATAAAATGATGTTATTACACCTATAGTAAAAAAAAAATTTTAAAAACATATTGCGTATAAGAGTCTGCAATGAAGTACCATACATTTTATGTCTTTGCTGTCCTTGCTATCATATGTAGCACATATCTAGGTAATATTTATAGAGTAATTGATAAAAAATAAAGACACGACTGCTATTGGTATACAATTTTTTTTTATTTATTATTTTAGATAATATTTATAAATTTTTTATTTTCATATATTATTAAAAATAAGTTTTCATTATCATTTACATTATCGCTTGAAGTAATACTCAGCAGTGATCGATGATGACTGAAGTATAGGATACGTAAGCGAGCGTCTGTACATTGGATATGTTTCTCGTGAAGATGCCATCAACACACGTCATATTTCGTGTCGTGGAAACGTCTACGGAATTATTTAGAGTACAGCCAAATGTTTCGGTCATAAATTGGCGGAAGCGCACGCCATCCTCTGAACGAAAGTTTAGCGGTTTCGTATCGCTTTGTGTAACGTAACGTTTTTCGATTCTATGTGCCGAAGCAAAGACATAAAATGTCAATATGAAAACTTAATCTTGAACAATCATAATGAACCCAATAAAGGTATCCAGAATTTACTCGAATGTTTAACATGGTGTCAAAATTTAACTATTTTATATTATGTACTCAATAGTTTAAAAAAGAGAATACATAAAAAGATTTTCAGGTAATTAAACTAGCACGATGGTCGGCGCATATTTTATACTTAATATAAATTATAATACATTTTAACAATAATAGATAGTTACACGGTACACCCATGTTATTGGTCCACGATAAATAGCAATACCCTCTATTTTATTGTAAATAAATCATAATAATAAATATATAACTGTATAGGTGGTAGGTACCTATGTATCATAATTATTAGCATTTTAAAAAATCATACAAACGCGGTGCTTTTACTTCTTACAGACTTCACTGAATACGTTTTCGATTTGTGAGTTGAAAAATGTAAATAATTGCACGATTTCGTTTTATTCTTAAGTATTATTTTTCAACATAGGCGGTAGGCATAAAAATTTCTATATTTTACAACTCGTGAAATGTCCACCTCGTTCTCTCTCAAAACATTTGGGACCCAATCACCCAAACATCCCGAACAATTTGTTTAATGCAATCACTGAAAAATAAATACATCAATGTATTTATAATAAAATAAATATATCTCATACTTTTCTTTTAATTGGTGCGCATAGCTATTAATATTATTGTGTAGAAAAACAAAAAAAATATACACGGCGCACAAACCGACTCCGCGTGGGCCGTGGGAGAAATCGAATAAGAGAGCCGTTTCGTTTTAACAACAATAATAATAATAATAATTTGTAAGTCGCGTGTGCCACAGGGTGTTTATAATGGGAACAATGTCAGCGGGACATCGTGTATAATTGACCGTCAGCGTCGGTCTGTCTGCACACGCGTTTTGACTTCACAGCGTGTCAACGCGAACAACATTACTACAATACGTCATATTCTACGTATTAAAATAACAATCATAATAGCGTGTAATAGCGGCAACCCTTTTGGATTCTGCAGCATTACAGATTCGCCTACACAATATAGTCGCCTCTGAATAGGGAATTTTTACAGATAATTGGAATGGTCGCGTATACGTATATGGTATAGGTATATTTATTATAATATTTGACGAATAATATAATCTGCTGCATAGTGTGTATACTTTTATTATTCCAATAATATAATTAAATATTTTTAATTCGTCTGTTTATAGGTATAACGTGTGCCATGTGCGAATTATTTACAGACCGCAGTTCATCATCGTATTCAATTAATGAAAATTATTATGGATTATTAAATCACTACATTCTGCTATGCAAGATGTATCCTAGTCGTACACTGGTTTTTTTATGATTATAATCATATATAATATGCATCGAATATCGATAATGTAATGCAATTTCAAAAAATTGGAGAAAGACGTATCATTATTTTAACCAGTCTTTTTTTATCCCAAATTCAAAAGTTTGAAGCACGCTGTTGTACCAACAGCAATATAAACTTTTTTTAATGGTACTTAACAACCATATTATGTTTAATAGATTTTGATAGAACTTTTTTTCAGAACATTTTTACGGTAAACTTATAAATTTTAGTTCACTTTAGTATATTAACTATACGGTCTTCTAAGGTTTAGTAAATTCATTAAGATGACGCTACACGCCTACCCCCGCATGCGTTGTCTGTTTTATAGACGCATAATTATAATAAATTGTACGTTCTGAATAATCGATTTAACTCAGATATTTTAACAAAAGAGCAAATTGACCTATTATTAAATTTAGAAGTAGGTAAGTGTAGGATCTAGTGAACATCAATGGTTTTTTTTAGATTTTAATTTTGAATCCAGTTATGAATATTTTAAAATGCACAAACAATTTACAATTTTGAAATACTCCTAACTTGATTTAAAATTAAAATATATAAAAAATCTTTGGGGTTCATTCGATAATATTCTTACTTTTAAATTTGATAATATATCAATTTGCTACAATATTACAATATCAAATATAATAGAGGGACAAATCATAAGAAATGAATTATTCAGAACGTACAATAAATTGTCCATGTTTTGAGTTTGTAAGACGGATGTACAGCGCATGGCGATTGTAAATATTTTTTAAGTGACCAATAATGGTCATGAGGTTTTTTTTGTTTTTTGATTTAGCATTATTGACATATTTAATTAATTGATAATATCGCTCATCAGTTAAAAATACACTATTTTTTAAGCCACATGAGTACATGACCCTTCAATAACTCTGAGTTAAAACGATCTTTCATATCGTTCTCTCGATTCTCCACTCACGACATTTTGTCAAAGACTGAAATGTGAAATGACTATAGTTAGGTATATAAGTATATGACTATGATAACGAAATGACAACCCCATTATCTGTCTACAGTAGAAATGTATTGATATTACTGCAGATTACTGATGGCTTTATATTAGTCGAAGTTACATACTATACATTGTCAAATATCAATAACGATAGGATGCATTTAATACATCACCTTTACATATCGTTTGTTATTTCATATAATGCTTAGCCTAATATATATATATATATATATTATTAAGCAGCTTAGGTAATTTAAACAATTTTACTGATTGCCGGCTATAGCATATATAAAAGAAAGCCTTATTATTAAGGCTTTCTAGCCTATAGTTGGTATTACATAGAGTTCCTATAGGCTAGAGACATTTTATGAAATACAATATTATACACATTGTTAAAATATTTCACTAAAAGTGATAATTTACAATTCGTGTGGCTGAGTATTACAAAAGGAAAAAATCATTTTGATAAATTTAATTTCATACAAATATTAAAAAAAAAGTTTTATGAAATGATCACATCGTGTATTAAGCTTCTTGTAGGTACAAAGGTTCAATAGAATTACGAAGTGAGGTTTTAAAATATAACTATACAATTTTGAATTTTTATAACAAAAAAAATTATTACATATTTAAAAAACACTTTCGTGAGATCAAATGTACAAGCCTATATAGCCGTATAGGTTTATTTCTTTAAATTATAACACCATTTTCAAACAAATTATTTGTCAGTAGTCGATACAGGCCCGGATTAACACACCGTAGGCCCTAGATCCACGTGCTAATACGTTCCTGTAGTGTTCAGTATTTAAATGATTAAGATACCTAATATTTGGGAGAGGTAGTGTTGAATCTCAGTGTTTTAAGCCTTTAAAAACGAAAATATTTACAACATAAAAATCATCATGATATTTTACATTTTAAGCACATAATGAGTTCTATTATTGTTACATAGTTATGTTATTATTAGTTATTACTTAATATTAGAATAGAAATATTATAAGTTTAAAAACAAGTGTACCTCTCATAAGTGGCGTCTCCCAATAAGCCACGAAACGAAGGACTATATTTAATAAAAAAAAAGTAATAATAATATTGATTGTGTGAAATGTTGCAACCCAGAAAGTTCACAAAATCGAAAATACACTCTCGACGCCCGACGGTTTCGAATAATAATAACCAAAAAAAATTGTTTTTAGCGAAAATGAAGTGAATCTACTGTAGTACTATTTCCTAAAAGTGAAATGAATTACTTTAATCATAGTAACATCATCAAATATACCAAGTAATATCATGGACTGATAGACCGTCTACGCTCAGAATAGTTTTTCATACACAATGATTTTATATCATTGAATTCAAATTCAACATCATTCATTACAGTGACCCACTTGGCACTTGTGACCTACTGTACAACAGAGCGATATCTCCTTACACGCTTTTTGAATGAATATAACAAACATGATTTTTTTTAAACAATATATTGATTATAATCTATACTTTATTATCACCGGTTTCATAATACTATGTACTATGTAGGTAAGGTGTACTTCTAAGTACACTTTGTTTACATTTAATATAATAATATATTAGTCATAACTCATAAGCTATATCCACAGATAAACATTTAATATATTACCTGAGATAATTCTTTAGTTCACGTTTTCACAAGTTGTAATTAGGTTTAATAATATGTCAATTAAAGTAAATCATCAATCAGATATTTTTAGTCTTGATCATACAATCAAAACGTTTTGTTTTTTTTTTTAATTTTAAATTAATGCATTTATAATAGTATTTATTAGGGTTCCTAATATGTTTCTGGCCGATACAAAATCAACACAACATCGTTACGACATATTTGATTAGTACAAATTATTTTTATAACTAGGAAATTATTTTCACGTATTAATCACTACCCACTAGCTAAGCTACCTTGAACTGTCTACCTGCGCACTGCGCATCGTGTTCTATACATTCCCAGTATTAATTGTTGTACCTATCAATCTATCATTGTACGCTGTTAAGTCATATAATAAAATATGTCTACCGTGGTCGAGGCCCGAGACCATTTTTTGATTCAAATTGTTAGGCCTGGCCTTCCCTTTCATAAAGCTCATTTTAAAAATAAGTTTGGAACTTTGTTACTTTATGAGACACCCTTGTTTGAAAATTTGTTCTCTTTCACGTATGTAGCTAGGTACCTGTATAAAAAACGGTGGTGAAATCAAAATTTGGTTAGGTTTCAGTTATATGATGTTTGCTATTTCGCAATTTTTAGGCATTCTCTCGTCACTCTAGCTTAGGGTTGCCATACGTCCCGGTACACCGGGACATGTCACCAGTTCATGACTTCGGTCCCGGTCGTCCCACTAGACCCTACAAAAGTCCCGGTTATGTGTAAATAATATTAGTACCAATAATTATATTAAATCATGTTTTTATAAAAATTATATTTGTATTCTAAAACCATTAATTTCACGTCGAATTTCATACGTATGCTACGGGAAAACTAGAGCTATTGAAACAGGTGAAAAAGTCAGGAAAATATAATATTTCAAAATAAATAAATAACTTTTATGGCAACCCTACTCTAGCTAGCTTACCGAGCCTATAATGAATATTTCATATTCATTTTTTTTCTAAAATGTATGTACTTTGACGAGTTAAGAACGTTGGTGCAATCAAAATTTATTAATCGAACTTAATCCCGAAATTAAAGGTTAGTGATTACAATGAAGTTTAGATTCTGCGATTTTTACGCATGTTTTCGCATAACGCTTTAACGCTCTATATTAATTAATTATTGTCATTATGTTATTCTATTTCACTACGTTATTATAAAATTACTATTTTTGAAATTATTTTCGGGAAGACAACAGCTATAATAATATACCTATAATAATATATTCTATTCGTATTTTGACTTTAATGGAACACGTGGTTCAGCCAAACAGAAAAAATTATTTTACACGATATGAGTACATGACACGGTATAGTGTGAACAAAATGTTCACAATAAAATAAAATAATAAAATATTGGGTGTTCATGGTGTATTGGTGTTATTACGTATTAGTTGTAGAAGATATTCTCTACATCGTTGTATATAGTAGGTATATTAACGTTGGTGCAACAGTTTACTTAAAAAAGTTTTGAGCTCCTTGGCGGCTTTTTAGCCAACAACTACCATGGTAGAATAGATAATGTATTTTGTTGATAAGTGATAACTGATATGGTACAGACTGATGGTGATTGAATCGTCGAGCGGCTCGAACTTAAAGGAAACTTAGGAAACGAATGCCTCGATTGAGATTTTGGATTTTAGAAATAACGAATTACTCGAGTTGACGAATTGTTTTTTATTTTCGTTGTTTAAGATTACTAAAAAAGGGTGTGATTTTTGTAATATAATATAGAAAACATCATGGATGGAATACTGAGAAATTTTTCTAAATTGCTTTCAGTGCAGAGCCCAATTCATCAGTTCAATAGGGTAAGATTTTTACATTTTTTTTCATTCAATACATTTCTTATTAAATTAGCACTTATATATTATGATGACAAAAACATTTAAAGAGTTTTTCGTTCTACTAGTATATGACTTGTATGCATAATTAATATTTGTTAATGATATTTTTACTAGACTTTAATCATACTTAAACGGCGCCATCCTGTTCAGTTACAAAAAAAAAATTCCAAACATAAACCTATCTTGAAAGGAAGACATTTTGTCTATGATATTGTGGAAAATCCAGAAAGAATGAAACAAGAAAAAATTGATGTAATATTAACTCAATATGTCGAAGGTAGGGACAATTTTATCTTCTAGCAAACATGTATTGAGAGGTAACCATACCCTCATGCGTTGTATGACATTCTTACTTCCAAGTTCTAAATTCGGTAATAGGTTAGTTTACTCTAATATTAAACACAATATAGTTAAACTAATTATTCAGAATGTGCAATTTGCTATGTTATGGGTTTGTAAGATGAAGACAACGCATGCCGGTATTTTGTACTCTTAAAAGATATATTAATATTATGATATAATATAGTTTATTAAAATGTTCTTATTGACTTAGGATTAGGGCATCAAGGTGAACTAGTTAGTGTTCGGCCAACATATGCATATGATCAATTGCTTCTGCCTAAATTAGCTATTTATGCTTCTCCTGATAATTTGGAACGTATGAAAAATAATTTATACCAAACCAAAGACGAAGAGAAACCTAGTTCTATTCATGCTCTTCAAGTATTATAAATTTTATCCTATTTCATTAATCTAAATAGAAGTTAAAGAAAAAAATGTAATTTTTATTTCTTAGACTGTGAAGTATTTAAAAAAAATGGTTGTAAGTGTAAGCATGAACAAAGATGAGCCTTGGACAATTGAACCTTGGCACATTAGAGTATCACTACGAAAAATGAATGTACATGTATTAAGTGATGATTCAATAGAATTGCCAGAGCATCCAATTAGTGGACCTGATTTCACTTTAGAAGGAAAATCCTTTGTTGTGTATATTACCGTGAGTTATGCTTAGTTTTCTATTATTTTAATTCTATTGTATAGAAATTAATTTTACATTGTTTTTCCTTACAGATAAACAAAAAAGAAAAAGTGCCTGTAGAATGTAATCTTCATCATTGGAGTACTAAACTTGCTGATCGATTACCTCGAACAAAATTCTTTACTAGAACTCCAATAGCTATTCTTCCTGAGCAGACTGAACTTTTAATGTCAATGAGAGGAGATACAAAAAATAATTAAATTTATCTAGTTTAATTTCTTAGTAGTATCTAATGTATTTAATTTTAGATGAATTATGATTTTTAAGATTATTATCTTGTTTTATTTAATTTGTATTAATTCAAAATTGTCCATTCTATATCAACTTTTTCACCATAGTGAAATTGTCCCCCTTTAAAAATTAGAAATCATGCAATGCATTGTATATCATTTTTAAAAATTAAATAAACCCAATTATAATCATAATATTATATTATTTAAATATTAATCAATTGGGTACTTAAAAGTATAAACATATGATTTTTCATAATTAACAATATTAATAATATCCTTGAGAACAAATCTTTTTTTAATAAAATTTGAAAACTGATAAATTAATTATCAATGTGTAATAAATGATTAAGTGACTAAGCCTATAATCATATGAGATTTAAGTTGAACCAAACAATATTAGTGATTTATTATGAGAATTGTAGCCTAAGCCATAAGACTAAAAATTTTTTTTCGCTTCTGACAAAAAAAATAAACACCTCATAATACTTATATGTTACATAGTAATAAAAAGTATGAACTTTAATACTTTTTTATGATATTTTTGTCTAATACAACTTAACTTAAATAACTAATAGAGTAATAACCATTTAAGTGTTCTTTCCTTGTGCTTAGGGGCAGTAATTTGATAAGGTCTTCAGTAGAGTATAATAGAAACTGTAAAAATATACTGAAACTAAATTTAAAAAAATTGCATTTATAAGGTATTCATTATAATTTATAATATTAGGTACAATTGATTTTATAAAATTACCTAGTAAAATCAATGATAGCACCTAATCGTATTCATATAGTAAAGCAATTATCCAGGTATATTCTATTGTATTTTGTTTTCTGTTTATCGGTTATCTTATCCATCAGAAATATATTATTTAGGATTTTTATGGTTCTCGAACATAAACATAGTTCGTTTTACTAACAAGACAAAGTGCAGTTACATTGTGCTTGTGTAAGAACCATAGAGTAAAATAAAGAATGAACTCTACGAACACCGTACAACTTTGTGGCCATGATTTTGTTCAGTGTCTAGATCAGTTGTAGATGTGTTTTTGTAGTTCACAGGCATATACAAATATATTTTTTATGTATTATTTGTATTAATATAATATATGTACTAAAAATATATTTATATATATACTAATAATGTATTTTTATAAATCTACAGTAATAATCTATTATCAGTTAGATACATTACACAGAAGATAATGTTCTTATCAATTGTTATCAACCACCTATCGGCTTACTTTTCTCAAAGACTCGAACACTAAATAATAAGCGAGTTCATTCAGGTTAAATATTAGATTCTTTTCTCAATTCTCCGTTAAACTATTCAACTTTCATCAAATACGATGTACAAATTACCTCAATTAAATACCGTAAGTGCAACTGTTGGATGTTTAAAATAATGTGTAGGGATTACAGTATAAGTAGTACAGTATCTAAAATACCAATACTTCTTTTCAGATCGGATCAATTTTGGCTAGGCAGAAAGCCTTAAATTTTAAAACTTTAGGCCATCGCCTACAAGCTATTAACACATCAACCAATGAAGTCAAACCCAAGTAAGACTTGACTAGGACAAAATTTAACCAATATGAATAGTTTAAGTTGACTTTTGATCATTACTTGCATTTCAGATCTCGATTTCTATTTTATGTAATGGGCACAGTCCTCACCGGTGTTATGAGCACAGCGGGGATAGTTGTCTACTCAAAAAATGATCCTAAGTTTCGGGAGCTTTTAACAAATAATGTGCCAGGTGCTGACAAGTTTATAAAAATCTGTTTATATGAAGACACAGAATTTGTTGACAAAAGCAAAAAAATAGGAGGCCGTGTGATTTGTAAGGTCGCTCAGCAAGTAAAGTCAATCAAAGAGAGGCAAGTCATATTTTAAATTTAATAAACAATCTTGAATGGTCATTATTCTTATAGTTTTTATATAAATGTAAGGTACACAATATGAATATGATTTTTTAAAATATTTTACAGTATCGGTGTTGATGAAAAACATAGTTTTGTGGACAAATCTATAGACCAAAGTAAGTCCAATCTTCATTTTATTTTTAATTAATAAATTATAACCAGATTGTTACAAGCTTATAAATATATAAATTTGATTTTCAATTGTTCTTTAAATAATATAGTTTGTTTTAATAAACAAATCGTAGATTATGGAATACTAATTTATTACTTTTTCATTTTTAGAATACAATCACATATCATTAAAATTGTATTCTTGTATTGTTTTTTTCTAGTTAAATCAATAACCAAAAGTTTTCCATCATCTGTTATTATGGATTCAAATAATGAACAAAGTATACCAAACAAAAAACAAGGTTATAAGTTAATATATATTACAATTTACTAATAACTAGGTGATGGGACTTATTGCGATAAAAGTCTATACAATTATTAAAATATGCAACTATAATAATTTTTATTTGAAAAACTCCAGAATATATAATATATTAATGTTAAGATGTCAACAAATTTTGAAATTTAATATTAATTAAAAGATAATTTATGAATTAATGATTTGTTAATATGACTATTATTTGACATTTTAGGCATTTTTATACAAAATAAATAAACGTAGATAAAAAAAAAGATTTAATAACATAAATAGGGTAGTTCCTAGGTACACATTGTAATTGGATAATATGATAAATAATTTCCATTATACTCAAATACCAGAACACTTACTGATGTTTAATTCTTCATGCAATATAGAATGTAGATGCCATTTAGGATTTAGATTGCCATTACAATACTCGATAACAATGTCGTTTAGGAATTATTTTTCCTAAAATGTTACATTTATTAAAATAATTAAATACAAATTATGCACTACCTAATATGCTAATACATTTTCAAACACGGAGTTCTCCTAAAATGTGCAAATTAAAATTGTATTTAATTTTACCATTTTACAAAATCAATTTATATCTTACCTAGAATAATCTAAGACCACCACAATTAAACATGCAAATGCAAGAAGTCCTGAATCCTACAATATTAACTAAATTAAATATCAATAATTTGGTATTTTTTGTCTGCAGAACCCCAACAATCTAAAAGCCAACCACAGGAGGACCCCGTCAAAACTAATTTTATACAGACTAAGCCTGCCGGTATATTTTTTTGGTTTTAATATTATAGTCTATTGTAGTTAATATATTTTTGCCCTAGTGCCTTACACATACATTCTGTCATGGTATTCTATTTTTTCAATTAAAAGCCTTATAATTTTTGTAGAAAAACAAGAACTTCCTCCAGCACCACAAAACGTAACGCCTCACCAATATACATTAGAAGAACTGGAAACTGAAATTCTCAAAAAATCTTCTTTGGGCACGAGTTCTTTAAAAATTGCAACTGCAGCAATAAAAGGTATAATATACTAATATTTGGTTTTCTTCTAACATTAATATTTTTTATGTGTTAACTAGAATATTCTGAAAATGTTTACAAACTTATTGATAATACTACAGAAAACATAGATCCTAACTTAAGTGTTAAACTACAAATCCTTGAAGATAAGAAAAATATTGTATATAACAAGGCATTTGAAGATGCAAAGAAATACAGGTAATAAATTTCACATTAATACATCATTAATAGTTTTGGCACAGGATGATTTCAAGATGCTTATGATTTAGGAAAGAAATATCTGATAATCAAAAATTATTAAGCAACTCTACATTTGAGGTAACTCCTGATAAATTAGCCAAGACTATGTACAGAACTAATGAAGCATTAGAAGAACTGAATAATGCCCGTGTTATATTGGAAAATGAAGAACATAAGTTGGGATATATAAACAAATATAAGTCAAATATCACTGAAGCACAAGCAAACTTGATTGTAATTTTTTTATAACTAAATATGAAAACAGTATTTAAATACTTATATTACATATTTTTGTCTACAGGATGAATTTGAATCATTGTTTCCTGGTTCAGACATAACTCAACACAAAATTAATGTTAACAATAATGATTTTGATGTATTTCTCCTGTATGCGTTGAAAAAACTTAACCATTATAAAGACCATCTTTCTAAACAAGAAGTGAATATATAAATTAAATTTCAAACTATTTAGCTGTGTAAAAAAGTTTTTTTTAACATTATATTTTTACTTAGGCAACTCTTGATCGTAAAATAAATAATGCGATGAATGCAGACTTTTTGAATGTTGAAACAATAAATGAGATAAACTCCCGTTTAAATTCAGAAATACATAAATTAGATGAACAATTTAAACATCAGGTTTGAACAATATATTTTTTTATCTTATTACTAAAAAAATAATTATTGGTTGACCGATAATACTGTTTAAAATGTAATTATGTAGTAAATTGTTATTGCTATTTAGAATTGTAAATTGTTGTGTTGAGAATTGCATATTGCTTGTAACATAAATTAAAAACATGAGTTTTTTTCTAGGCCCCTAACAATTTATTATTTGGATTATTTAAATGATGTTGTTTTATATAGCCATCTTATGATGATAACAAAGTTAATTTAGTCAACCTTTCACTGTACTCAATATGTCAATTTTAGGTTAAGTTGATCACTATTGTTTTGTGGTTAACTCACTATACTAATTTATATTTTAGTTAAATCAATTTAACACCAAAGTTGATGAAGACTTAAAGGAACAATTGAAGACACATAAGAAAGCACATGCAGACCTTATAACCAGAGCAGTAGACTTCACCAAAGAAGAATTTGAAAATAGAGTACGCCAAGAACTATCAGCTATAGAAAAATTAGAGCGTCAAAAGTACCAATCACAATTGGATTCATTGCAATCTGATCTTCAAAGTGTTGTTAATAATTTAAAAAGTACTTAAATATAAAATAACTTTTGTCAAATAATGTTAAAAGAAATTAAATTTGTTTATATATTATAGGAGAAGTTGAAAAAGAAAAGAAACTATTCGCTAATAAATCAATTTGGGAAGCAAGCAAATTTCTAAAAACTTCTCTTGGTAGTTCAGATAATGAACAACCAATCAACATAAAAGATCAAATAAATGCTATAAAAAAATTAGGAGGTAACGATTAAACTTTATTTTAATTAATTTTATGTTAATCATAACTCATAACACATAAGCTTAAGAGTTGAGTTTGTGGTTTGTGTTGTGAGTTATGTTTATGATGTATTTTTTAGCTTCAGATTCGATTGTG